ACTGTCAGCACCATCCGTGACTTGGATCCCCACGTGACACTTTGCTGTGTCATTCGTGTACAATGTTGTATTAACAATGTCGTTGAAGATCCCGACATGTGATTCCGCGGACTTACTATTGGCATTGATTTGTATGATAGGCATATTGCTATCATTAAAACTGATAGATATTCCCCCTATAGCTCTGATCCAATCTAATCCAAGAATCCCTGCAAGGAGGATTCTGTCCGTCGCTACAGTGTTGCACCGACAGACTGCAACCAGCGGTTGATCAGTGACCAGTGCTTCTCTCAACACAACAGTCGACAGGGCTTTAACGCCGCCTGGTAGACTGATGTTATTCGATACTTGACATTGATATGACTTTTGAAAGATTGTGGTGATGGACCTCGTACGATCCGAACTTGGCTTCCCACTCAAGCCTGAAATGGATGACAAGATAGACATCGAGCATCCAGAATCAATGAGGAAATAATAACCCTCTAACTCGATGAGCAAGATACTAGAAGCTAAGCTTCTTACTTGCCTATCTCCTGGGTGGCTCTCCTGTGGTTGCCTCGAAGGACACACATTGGCTCTATGGCCATAACCACCACAGCTGTAACACTGATCATATCCATATTGAGGATAAGGAGTGCTACGATATCCTTTTCCTTTGCCATGTCCCTTGGACTGGCCTTTTCCTTTTTGAGGTTGGTTCCCCTTGCCAAAGGACCACCTCTGATTCCAGCCTTTAGAAGATCTCCAGCCTTTAGAATTGCCCTTCTGGGGCTGCTGGCCCTTTCCTGGGGCGGCAACTACCGCGCTGAATTCCTCTGGGCCTCCTGTTTGAGTGGGACCACCACCAGTCTCGTCTACCTCAAATAGAGGCCTGGTGAGATCAATAGCTTTCGTGAGGGTCCTCTCCTTGGGTTCCAAGGAAGACCACAGACCATAGCTCTGACGCACCGTTTGCGTCTGAGGCAGTGTATTCCAATAGAAGGTCGCCGCAATCCTCTCATGGGAAGCGGTATCCAGATCTCTGAATGCCAACACTGTATTGTGTCGCACATCGGCTCCATAACAATCCACGGTATCTTGGCCAATGCGGAATTGCATGGCAATCAGCTTCTTGAAGCTTTGCTTCTCTCCTTGGCCGAAAGACCTATGGAGACGTAGCCAAATCTCTCGTTCGACTGCCTCATCAGTTAAAGATGGGGCGAAGCTTTGCTTAGAAAGGAGTCTATAAGCCTTTCCCGTCAGGCTGTTAATCAAGTTAGATCTCCTCTCCTGTGGGGTCCAGTTCTTTGAACGAGCAATCGAGCACCATCGCGCCTGCCACTCATCGAGCGACATCGAATCGGGCGCTTTCTCACCACTGAAGAGTGCGAGCTTCGGAGCCTTAAAGCCTATATCCCCCCCGCTAATTGAGAAGTCCTGTGCAGAAACGGGTGGGCGATTACATGATGGAACACCTCTATCAGTCTGAGGTTGCTGAGGGACCACTGGCTCGTCGGTATCCGTGGGAACTCTTGGCTCCTGACGAGACGAGGAAGCTCCTTGAGGGTGTCTATTGCTGCTCCTTGTGAGAGGGCCACTATGCTGGACTTGCTGCTCAGATGTAGTGGGATGACGAACCGTAGTCGTTCTTGAGGGGCTACTCGGAATTAGCTGCGGCGGGGGCGACTGGGTCTCGTCGCCATGCACAAAGCGAGCAGTTAACCGCGCGTTAATGTTAGCCGCGGTATCCAAAGCATTCCTCGGGGACACTTGGGGGCCACGATGGGTCTGGGCACCATGTGGAGGTTGCTG